CATCCCTCTTTTACTGATTAGGAAAATAAGGCACAGAGAGTTTAAGTAACTTGCCCAAGATTGCACAGCTAAGCAGTACCTCAGGCTTTCTGGCTGGAGAATATGTGCTCATAACTATTACATAATTTGCCTTTTGGAATGAATGTGCTCCTGTGTTTGTGTATTTGTGTGTGTGTGCAAGCACTAGTGCCTCCAAAAGTTTTGGTGTGTAATGCACCTGGCTGTTTACTGAAATGTGGTTGGGCGGGTGTCGGGGGCGCCTGAGAGTGTGTGTATGTGTATTTCAGCCCATGGCTGTACAATGTGTACAATGGTCTGTGAGTATGTGAGTGTGCAGCCTCTCTCTCACCAAGGCTGCAGACTATTGGGCTCACCCCCCAAGTTCCCTCTTAGTGGCTTGGCAGCTGTAGGACAAAGGGGCTCCCCAAAAGAGGCAGGACCTGCTCCCCTGATCCAGAGGTTTCTAATTGCTGACCTAGCTCTGCATAGCCACATACAAGGAGAAGGCCCCTCAGCCCCTCCCAGGGTCTGAGGTGAGGGCGCTCAGGGAACTGCTCCCCACTAGAGCCCTGATTCTATTCTTTTCACTGAGTGTTGGGTTTTAGAGTAGGTCAGGGGGATAAACTGAAGTTATTAAATTAGTACAAATTTGCTTCCTATGCCACATAGTAATTAACTTACAAAAGTGATTGAGCTTCTTGAAACCAATGGTGTAAACTTACACCATCAGCACCCTAAACTGATACGCCTAAGCTGATACTACTCCAGTCAAAAGCAAAGAACCTTAACATTCTAGCTAGTCTAAGGAGCCCTACAATGTAAATGTATGATGTTTGAAGGTGTCTTCACATGTGAGCCCCGCCTTGGAGGGATATGGGTGGTGTAAATTAGCTTTGGTCTGTCCTCTCTAAACTAATGTTTAAGGTACAAAGCTTCCAGCTGACAAAACTGGGAAAAAAAACCCCACCATTTGCCATTATCAAAGTCAAACTCACTGACGGAGAGACCACCCTTTGCCTCACGGAGCAGGCCGGGGCTGGGAGACTTACTCAGATGGAGCGGGGCTGAGCTGCAACCGCCGGGGCAGCCAGTCGGTCCTCCCACATGTTCCTCCTGTTCATAGCTGCCAGCACGCCTTCAGCACAAGGACAGGCCACTGGTGGGTGTGTTCCCTGACTTTTGAGGCTCCCAAAGTCAAGGGGGAGGGTCTGGGCAGAGAGGGGTGGGAAGGAGGGAGCTGGTGAAGGCAGTCAGTGAGCCAGGTGTAACCATAACCACGGAGGTCAAAACGAGCCTCCAAGGCTGGCCTCCGAGATGGTTGTTTACTTGTGGCATTCAAGAGGGGCTGAACTGGGAACTGGCTTATTTATTTTCCACACTTTTCCTCCAAATCCTTTTCAGAGAGTCCTCTGGAACCCCAGTGATAAATTTCCCAGGGCCCAGAGAAACCCACAGTCCCTCAGCACACAGCCATCTTTGTGGGGTGGCGGTGGGTGTGCAGGAGCAACCAGCTAGATTTAGGGCCATGGAGACGAAGGCTGAGTGTGTGCACCTTCAAGCACAGGACAGACTGTCCAGCCTGCCCGGGACCATCCCACACCCAGCTGCGGAATCTGGCTGCTCGGGACAGGACAAGTGGTGTTCTGTCATCTGTTTAGGCCTCAAAGAAGAAAAAGTGACAAGTATTTTTGTTTAAGGAATGAAAGGGAGAGCTGCTTTCCTTCTCTCCTGTGTGACTTCATGCAGGGCAAAACCTTCTCTGAGTGTTTCCTTGGCTCACCTGCCTTATGACTTCCCAGCAGAGATGTTTGTTCACAGCCCCTCCCTGGCTTTACCCTTCATCTGACAATGTTACCAAATACCTCCACATGTTGGACACTGGGACTGAGCCAGGGGTACAAAGATGAGTAGCCCCTGCCCCTTGGGTGGGGCAACTTCTCCCCACACCCAGCCTCCAGCTTCCATCCTGGGTGGAGTGGCCACTCCGCAGTGGAGAGGGGAGAGGGCTCCAGCACCTTTGCAAATCATGCTGTGAAGCCTCTCAGAGTTCACCCAGGTGGGCACAGGCCATCTGGTCAGGGCTTATCCTCTGCTCCTTGTTTAAGGGCACCAGCTTTTCCCATACTGTGGACACCCATTTCAGAGGCTTTTGGGGCAGAGAAAAGGGATGGGCAGAACAAGGATAAGTAACCCCTCTCAGCCCTTGGCCAGGGGTGGGGTGGGGTATAGAATACCAACTAGGCTAAAAAACCACTGCCCCTAAGTGCCTGCGGGTGTGCCTTGAAGGCAGCATGTCTTGCAGTTTCCTAGCTTTGTGACTTTGGACACCCACTGCACCTCTCTGAGCCTCATTTCCTCATCTATAAAGTGGAGACAATAATCTCTGTCCCTCTGTGGGGCATGTGTGAGAACAGCTTGTGTGGTTATCACCCCCCACCCCCCGACCCCACCCCCCAGGCTGCCCAGGTTCCGCCTCATCCATCTCTCCTAAGGACCAGACACTACCGAGGAGTCTGGCTTTCCAGGGCATGTGGCAGGGGTGGGACATGTCCCTTTGACTTCATCACATGAGAGCAGAAGAGGTCAGGTGAGGGCGGAAAAGGGAAAGGAATATAGTAATCCATTTGAGGATGTTTACCTGGCAATTTCTCCCAAACTCAAACATGTGACACTACAGTCACAGGTGGAAGCTCCATCCCTACTTCTAGGATAAGCAGTGAATCGTCTCTCTCTGGAATTACTGCAACATCTCCCTGCAGTGATTCCCAAACCCCCATCATCTGCTGACCCCAGATCCACATGGAAGGCACTATCAGCCTGTGCTGCCCAGCCTTTGACTCCCATGGCCCAGAGTGTAACCCCAGCTGAGCAGAATGTGTGGGGAAAAAGGACTGCAGTCAGAGGCATCAGGACCATTTAGTAAGTGCATCAGTGTTGCTTCCTTGTTGCCATGGAAAACAGGTAGGGCCCTTAGAGACAGCCTGGCATAGTGGAGACAGCATGGCTTCTGGAGCTGGAATGTCCAGGTTCAAATCCTGGCTTTATCTCTCACCAGCTAGGTGGCGTCAAAAAAGATACTTAATTTTTGTGAGCCTCAGTTTCCTAATCTGTAAAATGGTTGTAAAACGCTAACCTCATAGGGATGTAAGGGCTTAATGAATGCAGAGCTCCTGATTCACAGAAGACATAATTAAGGTAGAAAGGTGATACTGGAAAAGGATTGGGTGCAGTGTTCCATCTGAAATTGGGGTTGGCCAAGCCCTGATCACTCCCACTCTCTTCTGGGACCACAGTCCTGGGTGCTGCTCATATACTTTGCTAATTTCAGCATTAAGACCATTTAGAAGCTTGAAATGTACATTACACCTAGTCACAAATGGGCAGTGTGGGGAACCATATTTCTTTGTGATCACACGGCCAGGTAGCCCTCACATCCTTGCATGTTCTCATTCCCATGCCAGTAGGGAATCATTCCCCAGAATGCCTTGCAATCCCAGTTCCAGGAACATGAGATGTCTCTGCTCCTCTGGGAAGTTCATGCCAGCTGGCACAGAGGAACCCACCCAATGCTCACTACAGGGATTATGACCAACACCCCCTCCCCCCATCCCCTTCACCTGCTGCTGCCAAGGAGCCACACTCTGCTGGAGGACACAGCTCCTAGACCCTTCATGAGACCCATGTCCAGCCAGGCCAGCAGGAGCCAGGAAGAAACATCCCACATCACCCCTAGCTTAGCCAGATGTAGAAATGGAGACCTTCTTGCCCCTCTTAGGGGAGCAGAGGCCAATGATGACATTTAAGTCCCTGATGCCAGCCCCCAGGGCACAGTGGAACTTGCTGCTTGCGCCACACCCCCAAACACATCAGGCAGGGTTTTCTGAAACAGTTAGGGCCCCTCCTCTGCAGAAAGCCCAATTCCAACCCAGCTAAGGACACCAGGCTTGGCTTAACAAATGCTAATATTGGTGTCGTCATTCATCAAACAACTATTTATTGAGTATCTACTATGTGCCAGGCACTGTGCTAAGTCCAGGGCAATCTTTGAAACATCCTGTGGTGCCAGGACATCACAGTATTCGAAAACAAACACAACTTCAGGTGCAATTAAAATTAGGCTTCAGACAGCCCTGGTCTCTCCTGACCATGGAATCTTCATCATCCCCCAAGCCGTGTTACATATACCCCAGGCCTGCAATCTCCTCAGCGGGTCTCCCTGGAAGTCCCTCTGAGGAAGCACATCCGCTGGGGGGAAGGGTCTGTGCTTCCCTCGCAGGCCTTGTCACTGCCACCACCCAGCTGTCCAGCGCAACGGGGGCCTGCCAGCCTTTTCCACTCTGCTCACAGACCCCAGCACGCCGGGTGTGAGTTTATGAATCACTCCCTCCTTCCTCCTGGCCTCGCCTCCGGAAGGGCTGCGCACACCCAGACACATTACCCAGACACCGAGTTTCCAAACCAAACTTGTTCATGATAAATCCGAAGAATCGCCTGCAGTGTCTGCTTTCCCCTCCCGACTTCTCCTCCTCTGGACTTTCCAAAGACAAGTCAGCCCCTGCCCTACCTCTCGCGCTTTTGGGGCATCACACTGCGGGGGACGCAGGGGCAGCAGGCCAAGACCGCGGACTTACCGGAGAGCAGGAGGGCACGCTTGGTCTAGGGATCCAAACCCCCACACTCCCAGGATTGTGCATTTTGGTCTGTGGCGTGTGCCTGGTCCTTGTGCGGTGTGCTCAGAAGCGTGTGCGCCGTGTGTCTGTGGCTGGAGCGCTGAGCTGTGTGTATCTGGTAGTTGTGAATCTGGGTGCAGTGGGTCTAGGGGTTCTGGGTGCCCGCCTGCAGTTTTCTCCGAGCCGGGAACTCTCGCCCACCCTAAGTTTTGCCCCCTCTTCCTCCAAAGTTTGGCGCGCGCACCCGGACGGGGAAGGTGGAGAGGCGCACAGCGGGGCGGCCTCCTCCGGGCCCCAGAGGCGGTTCCGGGACGCCGGCGCCCTACTTACCCGGCCGCCAAGCCTCCTCCGGCGGGGGCGGATCCCACTCTTCGCGGCTGGGTCCGGCGCGGGCAGAATCCGCTAGCAACTTTGCTCTCCTGTCTTGAAGAACCCGGCAGAAGCAGCTCTGGGACTCCAGATCCCTCAAGGCCTGGGATCTGCGCCCTCCCCGCGGGCAGCGGCGTTGGCGGCTGGGTGGGTGGGAGGCGCGGCCCCGCGGGTTCGCACGCCGGGCAGGAAGCGGCGCCAGGCGGGCGCCGTCCTGCGCAGCAAGCGAGCGAGCGAGCGGTCCTGCCTGGCGCCCTCCCCGCTCGGGCCCGGGCCGACGAGCGGCCCGCGGCGGCGGCGGATTCCTGAACGGCGTCCAAAGCGCTTGGGGAGCCCTCCTCCTCTTCCTCAGCCCACCTAGCTCCCACCCCTGAGCGCCCGGCAACTTGGGAACTGGTGGTGAAGTTGGCGCAGCCCAGGCTGCGCGCCTGCTGGGCCTCCGAGTGGAAGAAGGGGCGGAGAAGGAGGAACTGATGAGGGAGGGGGCCCGCCCCCGCCCCCGGGGAGCCGCGCTCACCAGGACCCCAGAGTGGGTCTTTGTTCCGAGCGCTACACCTCGGCCCGCCCCTCCCCCGGGACTCGCTTTGGCCGCTCGGACCCCCACCCGCTCCCAGAAAAGCTGGGAGGAGCTCCGGGCCCCTGGGTGGGTAGGTGGGGGGAGAGGCGGCGCTCAGATCATTGCGGTTTCGCCCTGCCAGAGCACCCCCAGCCATTACGGCCCTCCCATCCTATGCCTCCCCGGAGAGACCCTCTGGCTGCGTGGGTTTTTAGCCATCTCTGGCCCCGGGAGGATCTTCTCGCCCCTCCCGCGGAATGGGGAGGGTGTCAAAATGACAGCCCCCCACCCCCGGGCTTCCAAAGACCACAGCACTCCCCCTCTGGGCAGTCACAGGTCACCACTGGGGCTGCTGAACGAGTGAGGACCCCATCGCCTCCAGCGTGAGGAGCAGTCCCCAGCTGGGCAGCGCCAGCTCAGGCGTACAAGGCCAGCTTCACTAGGAGTGTGGTGAAGGACTCGGTATTGGAACACAAACAGCCTCTGTTTCTTGCCAGAATCCTGGCGATGCCCCTGCCTCCCAGGCTTTGATTCTGGCTTGGGAGGCTTTTCTCCAGTCTACCCAACACTTAGGAAGTCTTCTAACTTCCTTAGCAGCCTAATCAGGCGTCTCTAACAGTGTCCTGGCATTTAATGGGATAGTATAGGTTTTAGACATAAGTCATTTCCTGTAAAGAAGTAGGAAAATCCACAAAAGTAAAAACCTCAGCACCTGCACTTGGCCTCCCTTTGTCATTCTCAACATTTGTAGATGAAAAACCCAATTAGAATGTATCATGACCCAGTCCTCCCAGGACCGGTACTCACAGGTAGGATAAGGTAGAGGTCTCTGTTCATTATCTGGGTCCAGAGCAGCCAAAGTCTCTACCACATGTGGAAGCTGGAGGGGGCCTGGGCAAAAAGCTCCAGACTCGAGCAGAAAATCTGGCTGGGCACTTTAGCAGCTCTGTGTGCTGCTATACAGGCCAGAGACTCGGTGAGAATTCAGAGCCTGGCACCTCCTGTGCTAGCCGCTGAATCCCCCCTCCGGCATCTCCGGCAGTCCTCACTGCCCTCGCCCCACATCACAGGGGGCAGGCTCTGCACCTGTTGTTCTGAGCAGGTTTCTTGGCATGTGGGTTCTCCAGCCTCTACCACCTCTTCTCAGAAGAGAAGGCCTCAGTTTCAGCCTCACAAATCTGTCAGGAAGTGATATTTAACTGTGCCTGCTGGCCTCATAAAGGAGGCCTTCCATTGAGACATACGGAATCTTGGATTTTATTGCTAGAACTTTATGATTCACCTCAGGGGACATGAAGGCCATTACCTAGAACTGTGTAACCATTAGATTGTAGAAAATAGGGCTGTGTGCTACTGAGGTGGGCGTGGGGGAGGGAGGAGCACAAGTGGTCACAGAGAAGTCCCTGTGTTCATCCAATCCTTGTTGAGCACATACTGATACTGGGGCCCACAAAGGTAAACAAACCTTCATCCCACCTTATATCTAGAGAAGATAGACCTATGTCTAAATTAAATGCTAGTGATACACATGCTGTGTGAGGTGAGGCTGGGTCCAGAGGCATGGGCATGGGGGTGGTTCTCCAGAACAAGACCACAGGCTCGCACAACTCCAGGGGGCACCAGGCATACAGAATATGATGTGACTGTTAGTCCCTGACACTGTGCAAAGCAGCCTTATTGCAGCTGAAGACCCCAGGTTTGGGCTGGAGGTGAGCTGGAGTACTACAGGTAGAAAAGAAGGGCTCTCCAGGGGAAGGAACAATATAGGGTAAAGGTCTGATCCAGACCATTGGGAATTTTCATCCTAAAATAGTTCCCAGGCTCAATTTCTTTCCACAATTGCTTTGCCAAAATAATTGGTCTTGTTTTTGCTTTTTACCCTGTTTGAAAAATTGAAAGAAATTTTCATGCCAGAGGCAGAATTGAAGAGTGATTAAGAATGTGGGAGCTTGATCTACTACAAAGCCACAGTAATCAAGACAATTTGGTACTGGCACAAGAACAGACCCATAGACCAATGGAACAGACTAGAGAGCCCAGATACAAACCCAAGCATATATGGTCAATTAATATACAATAAAGGAGCCTTGGATATACAATGAGGAAATGACAGCCTCTTCAACAACTGGTGTTGGCAAAACTAGACAGCTACATGCAAGAGAATGAAACTGGATTATTGTCTAACCCCATACACAAAAGTAAACTAAAAATGGATCAAAGACCTGAATGTAAGTCATGAAACCATAAAACTCTACATCAAGCTAAAAAGCTTCTGTTCAGCAAAGGACACCATCAGTAGAACAAAAAGGCATCCTTCAGTATGGAATATATTTGTAAATGACAGAGGTCAGCATCCAAAATATATAAAGAACTCACATGTCTCAACACCAAAAAAGCAAATAACACAATTAAGAAATGGGTGGAGGATATGAACAGACAATTCTCCAAAAAAGAAGTTCAGATGGCCAACAGACACATGAAAAGATGCTGGTTCTTTGAGAAAATAAACAAAATAGATAAGCCTCTAGACAGACTTATTAAGAGAAAAAGAGAATCAACACACATCAACAGAATCAGAAATGAGAAAGGAAACATCACAACAGACCCCACAGAAATACAAAGAATTATGAGAGACTACTATGAAAACCTATATGCTAAGAAGCTGGAAAACCTAGAAGAAATGGACAACTTCCTAGAAAAATACATCCTTCCAAGACTGACCAAGGAAGAAAAACAAAATCTAAACAAACCAATTACGAGCAAAGAAATTGAAGCGGTAATCAAAAAACTACCCAAGAAAAAAAAAACCCTGGGCCAGATGGA